GGAAATGGGGGAGGAATTGGGGAAATTGGGGGAGATTAACAGGGGAAATGGGGGAATGGGAAATGGAGGAAATGAACAGGGGAAATGGGGGAATGGGGGGAATGGGGGGAAATGAGGGAAAACGAGGAAATGGGATGGGGAAAATGAGTGGGATGGGATGGGAAATATGAGGAAAGGAGGGTGGGGAAAAGGGGGAGCGTGGGATGGGGAAAAGGAGGGAAAATAGGGGAGGTGGGATTGGGAAAATGGGAAGTGTGGGATGGGGAAAATGAGGGAGGTGGGCTGGGGAAAACATGAAATGACACTCCCGCTTATCTCCTTTATTTCAATTGTTTAAATACCATAAATTTAAAAATAAATCTCTTCAAATGAAAATTTTCGTTTAAATAATTAATTTTAAATTTTTAAATATAATAAAGTAAAAAATCAATCCCCTTAAATGAATTTTTAAAATTTAATTAATTAATTTCTCCTTTATTTTAATGTTTTAGATATCATAAATTTTAAAATAAATGCCCTTAAATGAATTTATTAATTTAATAATTAGTTAATTTTCTCTTTTTATGGTTTTAAATATCACAAATTTATAACCCAATCCCCTTAAATGAAAATTTCAATTTATTTAATTAATTCATTCCCCTTACTTTTTATTTTTTTAAATCTCATAAATTTAGAAATAAATCCTCTTATATTAAAATTAAAATTAATGAATTCATTAATTTCCCCTTATTTTAAAATTTTTAAGTTTAAGAAATTAAAAAATAAATCCCCTGACATGAATTTTTAAAATTTATTTGGTTAATTTCCCTTTTATTTTAAATCTTTAAATATCATAAATCTAAAAATTATTCCCCTTAAATGAAGTTTTCAATTTAATTTAATTAATTAATTTCTTCTGTAATGTTTTGTATATCATAAATCTAAAAATCAATCCCCTTAAACGAAAATTTTAATTTATTTAAGTAATTAATTCCCCCCTAATTTTAATGTTTTAAACATAAAAAAAATTAAAAATAAATCCTCTTAAATTAAATCTTTAATTAAATAATTTTCCCCAATTTTAAAATTTTAAGCTTAATAAACTAAAAAAATTGATCCCCTTAAATTAAAATTTTAATTAAATTCATAAGTTAATTTCCCTTTAATTTTAATGTTTTAAATACCATAAATTTAAAAAGAAATCCACTTAAAAGATATTTTTAATTAATTAATTAATTAATTAGACATTTTAAATTTAACAACTTAAAAACCAAATCCCCTTAAATGAAAATATATCAATTAAATAATAATTAATTCCCCTTTACTGTAATGTTTTTAATATCCTAAATTAAAAATCAATCGTTCCCTAAATGAAAATTTTGATTTTATTAATTAATTTTCCTTCAATGTTAATGTTTTAAATACCATAAATTTAATAATAAATCCAGTTGAATGAACTTAAATGAGGGGCCTGTCCTCATCCCCATCCCTGTTCCCATCCCTGTCCCCATCCCTGTACCTGTTTCCATCCCTGTCCCTGTTCCCATCCCTGTCCCTGTTCCCATCCCTGTCCCTGTCCTCATCCCTGTGCCTGCTCCCTGTCCTTGTCCCTGTTCCCATCCTTTTCCCTGTCCCCATCCCTCTCTGTGCCCTTTCCCTGTTCCCATCCCTGTCCCCATCCCTATCCCTGTTCCCATCCCTGTTCCTGTTCTTGTTCCTGTCCCCATCCCTGTCCCTGTTCCCTCTCCTCCATCCTGTCCCTGTCCCCATCCCTCTGTGTGCCCTGTCCCTATCCCTGTCCCTATCCCTGTCCCTATCCCTGTCCCCATCCCTGTCCCTGCTCGTGTCCACGCCCTGTCCCCATCCCCGTCCCTGTCCCCAT